TGATGCGTCGATACGCTTGCACACGTGCATACGGAACCGCGGCGCGCCAACCCCAAAGTCGACCATCGGTATGCGGCATCAGGCAACGGTCTAGACAACGGTACAGTTGCTTGCGCCCAATGCCGGTCGTGTGTTCGATGCGATCAAGTGGCAGGTTCTCGGCATACGCAAGGATTGCGTCGCGCATGGCACGGTATCGGTGAAGACGCGATTCAGACACCCCGCGTTCATCAAACCCCGGCCAGGCAGATAGGTCGAGTTCGTTGCCGTAGCGTCGATACGTTGTCATGGAGCGGGCTGGACCAGCGTGTTCAGTGATAGCGGTTCGGTTTGCAGTGACGGCGCGCATAATCGTCCAAGTCGAATCGATTCGAATATGGCGGCGCGAATACAAGCCGGGTCTGCGCCTGCGCAACGCGCTTCGATCCGAGCCAGCGGTATCGGTTCACGAACCTGACTGTTCACAGTCTTCGTTAACGCTGCAGATATCGAGCCGCGCGCGGCATTGATCGCGGTGAGCATGCGTTGCCAGTTCTGAACGAGCAGGGCGCGTGCCATCCGATCGGCATCAGAGCATTGTTCCAACGGCAAACCGCTCAGCGTCCCTGGCCAGTCTGCACGCCGTTCTCCCGGCATCACTTGCGCAAAGTACTCATGCGGATCGGTCTGTACCCAAAAGTCGATCATGATGGTCTCGGACAGCCACTTGGTTCGAATCGGTCGCTCACAAAAAGTGCGCACCTCGGCATTGGCCTCGAGCCAGATCCAATGCTCGAAAGCCGCCCGAGAAAAGAACTGCACAGGTCGTGCCAGTGAAGGGCTGAAGCCTTGCAGCAGGCGCGAACCACGAGGCCTCGGCAAGGGCAGGGGAGTGACGTAGCGCGGTGAAGAAGTGTTCATAAATCAACACCCTACCGGGCTTAACCGCAAAGGCAAAACGCCAAAGACAAGTGTCAGATTTACTGATTCGCGCTGCTAAGTGTCACTTTTACTGAGTCACCAGTGACGGTAAATGTGACACTCTTGGGCCAAAGACGACGCGATTGGGCGAACGGTGAGTGTCACTTCTAGTGAGGTCTACGACATGGGAATGTGTAACCGCATAGTTGCCGGTCTTTGAAGGGAAACCTTTGGCGGTATCGATTAAGTTGTCAATACCAAATCGCGTCCCAACCTTTTTAACGCTCTCCTTTCTTGCTTGAGAAGCCCAGTGGCTAGGGCTTTCAGGGATTTTCTCCAGCAGCGTTTTATTGTTTCAAAATCGCAGTTGTTTCGTTCTTCGACACCCGGGCTAATCCTCAAAGAGTTCTTCGAAAGTTTTGGATACAGTCGCAATTAGCTCGACAATTAAGCTGAGCGCGATTCCCACGGCTGCAATGACAAGTTCCTCGCTATATTCTGTTGAGAGAATTGCAGTAACCGCCAAGAACACAGTGCTGCCCCACAACCAATACGCGACAAAGAGAAAAAAGCCGACCAACAGCAATATCAGAAGTCTGATTAATGCTCCAATTCGAGGATACTGTTCGAGGTGGCGGGCCAGACTGACTCGCCACTTCGATGCCGGGACCTCACTATCGCTGTCTCCTGGGATTCGCTGGGCAACACATAGGCCCGCCAGGCCGAACGCAGCAAATGCTGAGCCAATAGAACCAATTAAGATTGCCGCAAGAACACTTATTCCTTTAAGAAAAATACCTGTGTTCGATTTGCTTGAGTCATCATCAAAACGATCGATAGCTGATCTAGCAAGCATTGAGATGATCACGCTGTGGAGCTCGGCACCGTCTACCTTGCGCAGCAGTGGGGAATAGTACGAGTCACTGGTAAATAAATGGGTGCTACCAAAAAGTGCCAGAC